TGGGTCGTCGTCACAATACGTGTTTTTGCCGGCTACTGCATCGCTATAGCGCAGCACCGCAAAAAATCATTAGAAGAAATTAGCTTACCGTGTATAAAAGATTAGACTCTATGTCGTCTTCCAGCGGTGCATCCAAGAACTCACTCTTAACCCATAGATCCTAGAAAAAAAGGTCATCAGTGGTTAATGGCAGAAATTCCGTGAGGATCGAGGTTCCCAAAAAAAGAACTAAAATTAGTCTTAAAAAAAAAACCGGATTTTGGTTGCAGCAGATTTGCAGCTGCATGAGGGTCATCCATCGCTTTAAAGTGAGTTGTTGTCAAAAATTATCATTATTAGGGCCAACTGATATTTACCCAGGCATAATCTGTCATCACACAATTAATACTCGCATTCACATGCATAGGCCCGGGTGAAGGGTTTTTGGCAACAAGAGATAATAGATGGTTAAAGCTGACTATTGAGCAGTACTCATGCAGTGTTGGACAAAAAAAAACTTGGAAAGACCGTCAGTGTATTAGGGAAGGATTTTTTTGAACGATCGCCTTGAATTGTACAGATAAGAGAAATACGAAACAAGAGGTACGAAGAAGTCATCAAATGTATTAATGGCGAGAAGTAATTTAAAAATGAAAGAGCAGCTAGTTGAAATTGAAAGAACAGTGTGAATCCTTACAGGAATAACAAATTGGTAGTCGCTCGAAACTGTCATACGTATCATGCTTGCAGTGTTGTAAAGCAGATTAAATGGTGGTGGTATAGCAGTGTACCATTCAAAGTACTCCAAATAGATATGACACCGGGTAAATTTCCATTCCAGATCCTCGTTTTTCTGCAAACAACAGCTTGATTGATTACAGAAAATTGTCGCAAAGATGGAAGCTATCATTTTGTAGAGTTGTAATAAATATACAATAATAAATACTAGACGACCGCTAAGCAAAAGGATGGATTTATATTATTTTTGTCAATAGTTTACCAAGCATTCGCAGCCAATAAAATTTGCATCTCCCGAAATATCTACAATCAGCTTTCTTCTCGGGAAAAACACCAAAAATATCAAGCACTACCCTGTCAATCAGTGTAGATATCCTACGTTAGTAATAAGTAATGCTCCCATACACTTGTGATAGCTGTGCCAAACCCTTCAATCCCGAGCTTCCAGTCAGTACTCACTACTTGTTCGATGTATGGACGCCACCCCTTCGTGGTCACCTGAGTAGTCAGTCGTTTATTCTCTTGCAGATGGCGCCCAGTAAGTGCGCGGTGTACGCCGGTAATTGGCAAGGCATTCAAGTGAAATTTAAGAAAACGAGAAAATGGGCAGCCGAATCTCCAAAAAACTAACCAGCTGCTGAAGGCAAAGGGCCACCGCCTTCAAAAGACTGACCATTTAATGAAATGCTGACCATTCTGACCATTTGATAAAATGCTGATTATTCTCTCTCTGTTTATGCCGCGCACTTGTTTGAAATAATAAAGTGGCGAGAAAGAAAGCTTACCAGGACGTCATCTGCTGTTCGAACTAACATAGAAATCATAAGATTTAGCAGTGTAATCACAACGGCAATATGA